TTACAGTCTAGAACTCCCAACCCTCAGCAATAGTGCTCAGCTGATCCTGGGTTGGGTATGTCAGTGACTGCTGCCAGTGCCCTTCAGGAAGCAAATCTAGCCCAGTTAGCACAGTCCTAAATGAGAGCAAACCAGTCCTTAAAACAAATGGAAACAAGCCACGTGTCATGGTGTGAGCTTATCTAATGCCTTCTAATGGAGACAAACACCTTGATGGAGTGATTGAGATTGGTTTTGAGGAATATCTGGTTTTTGAACTCAGGGCAAAGGATTGTAATTCACTCTTCACTATTACTGTTAACAATACCAACTTTCTTTAGCTGGTAGCCTCTATTTTAAGAATTACTGAGATGGTTTATGATGAATAGCTGTCGTGCCGTGTGCTGACAGGACTCTTGACTCAGTTGATCCAGGGACTGGCCTGGCACTTCTGTTCCTACCACAGTGTGACAACTTCTAATGTATATATTTTCGGGGGGTGAGGGGGATCCTTTACTGTGGGGTCACTACTTTAAATCAGCTCTGTTTATTTCTCCTTTATAACTCGAAGGAATAAACCCCTCATGTTGATCGTATGTCCGTTCCTATTTCTACTAATCAACTGTTCCTAAGTAGCTAAATTCTTTGGCATTTTAAAAACTAAGCTAGGATTTTTTTATTTTACACTAGTGCATAAAAGTCTACACAAAAATATGAGCATGTGGAACAAGATACAGTAGAAAGAATTTTGTGCTGGGAGAAGAGAGATTAGAACAGTGATGTAATCTTTCTTCTTTGGGATGTCTAAAATTAGGTTCACTTACCACACAGATGCCATGGCTAAAGGAACGATGAAGTGTGTGAAAATCCCATATGTTCCTCACTGAATGTCAGCAGAAAGGGTTTCTAAATCTTGTAAGTCATTGGCTCAAAAATATCTGCTTCCTTCGTGATATTTAAACTAGATAGACATCTCTTGATGGATCCTTTTCTTTGGGAGTTCAGCGCATGTTCAGATCTCCGCAGTTTATCTGACAGTCCTCACCTGTCGCAGCCCCACAGACTTGGGGATGATTTTCCCACGTTGCGGTCAGTAAGAATCTCTCCGTCTCCAGGCTTTCACCTTGTGCTGCGTTACAGCTTTGCTTCCCGTCATACAGCCCGTCACCAAATGCCGCTGAGTCTTCCTAACACTGTAATTCTTACTGTGCTCATTTCCACGTTCTAATCCAGGTCCTGAAATACTCGCCCATGCCCGCACTGCTGTGTGGCCCTTTAAATCTGGTAGTCTGTGACCTGATCCAGCCAGCCACTGAAAGTGTAACTTGGATCATGAGTCCGTCTCTTTCACTCCCATGGAGTTCCAGGTTCAAACGTACTAACTTACCTTTAGGATAAGTTCCTGATCTGTAGTATGTAGTCGGTGAATCTTCGACCACCATCTGCCTCCCTCCGCCACACCTGTCCTGTGGGTATTCGCCGTGCAAATTCCTGCCTTGTTACCTAAGCAGACAAGGCACACCCCACGGCCTGCCTCCGGAAGCTGCCTCTGGACCCCTGCATTACCGGATTCGACCTGCCGGGCGTGCTCTCTGCTGCTTTCCTCGTCTGAAAAATGAATTCAGATTGTCTTCCTTGCCCATGGCAGGTGCTCGGGTCCATTCCCAACCCGCCGTCACTTCGGAAGCTGCAGCGGTTGTACTTGGCATGGTAATAGCCAAGCATGACTAGTCACTAGCTGCCGTGACTTCGGAAAGCAGCTTTATTTAGCATTTTTTGCCAGTGAGCAAATTGCAAACTGGAGCAGGGAGTGGGGTGGATAAAGAGGAGTATTAGGGTGGAGCAAAAGGTCTGACTATATAGTCTCTAAATCAGCCAACTT